GGATGTTCAGGTATTTCTATATTTGTTGAATACTTTATATATCATTATTAATTGAATTTAACATTTATTGGTCATTTCACAACAAAATTTTGATGTTCCTAACACCGAGATGATGAGGAAGAAGATTTTATCCTCCATTGCCATTAGATGGAGGGACTTTAAGACTTTCTTGATACGGGAGTATGTATTTGGAAAGTTTCAAGATGAATCTCCTTGTCTAAAGTATCAAATTAGTGAGGAGGATTGGTTACAGTTTTGTGCCAGCCGAATGGACCCCTCTTGGCAGGATAAAAGATGTGCTGCCCAACAACGTCAGAGGTTGAATGATACACCCCATGTATTGTCACGAGGAAGGTATGCATTATTGGAGCAACGTCTCATGAAAGCCAGACAAGAGTCAGCAGGAGTTGAGTCTACTGACATTGCATCTCCACCCCCTCGCTATGAGATGTGGAAGGCAGCCCGGACAAAATATGATGGACAAATGACTTCTGAGACTGCACGAATCATTGCTCAGAAAATCGTAAGTTATAATGTCAATTTGAATTGATTCTAATGTGAAAGTTAGTGTATGGCTTAATTATTGTTAATGTGTTGTAGGATGATTTAGTTGAGCAGAGCACCCAAGGATCATTTATTCCTCATGGTCGACAAGATATATTGGCGACGACCATAGGAAAACCAGATTACTCAGGACGTGTGCGTGGTGCTGGTGGATCCCGGGGCCTTCGTGATTACTTTGGTCCAACATCACGAAGGACCACTACCTGACACTTGCATCCAGGAGGCCTTGCATAAAATGGAGATGCAGTTTGAAGAAAAGTTAAATCAAATAAGGCAGTCCTTGCAGCAAGAGTTTGATGAAAAAATTGAATCTCTCGCCCGCTCTCAGCAACAGACTCAAGGAACACCTCAAACAATTGAACATGATGTTGTTCGAGTCAGCACTAAAGGGAGTTGTGCTGCTACTACTGCTGATCCTTCAGGAGAATATACTCGAGATCGATGCATCACACCGAGTGTGAGTTATATGTTGAAGATGACCCCCGCGTCTAGTGGCTATTGGTCGAGTTTTTGAGGGTGGCTTAACCATCCATGGTGTCCCTCTACAGGAAGACTGGACACGAGTAGTAGTTGATGAAGTTCATGATGCTAATGCTCCAGTGCCTTTTCCTAATGAAGAGATTCAATTAGTGGGGCAGGCAAGCGGGACATTCTTGGCTTGGCCAAGACGTTTGGTTATGTCACTTTCAGACATCAGATCAATGTATATATATATATATATATATATATATATATATATATATATATATATATATATTGTCTATTTTCTCTTTTCTACTATTATAATTATATAAATGTTTAATTAATTGTTATCATTTGTTTAGGAGGCCTTGCGTCGTGGTAAGCATAAAAAACAACCTATTATTGATGAGGATCTGACGGAATGTGATGATGATCTCATCTCTATGTTGTTGACCATATTACCACGGTTGAGGAAGAGACCGTGTCGGATACAATGGGATGTTAGAGTGTTTGGAATTGACAGTTCCAAGTATTCCATTATACATTTCCTTGCTCGATGCTTTAGAAATTGTTGGGGAAATTGCATGTTAAACATTTCCATCATACAATTGTGGGCAATGTAAGTCATTCTCATTTATGTTTCTAAGATTATAATAATTATATTCAACTTATAATTAATTGTTTTAGGTACATGGACAAATTGAGTGTGGAACAAGAAAAATCCGAAGTATACTGGATTTATTGAGCCTCAATCCATCCAAAAATCTGAAATACAAAGGTTGGAATCCAACAATATATGCAAACATGGATGAGTGACTCAAAAAGACATATATATTTGGCTTCATACATTGAAGGGTTAGTATTTTAATTTTTATTTTAATTTATATTTTTGTAACTAATTTTTATGTCATACAATGTAGGTCCCATTGGCAGTTAATTGTAATCATACCCGGGATTACACTCGTGGTGTGGTTTTTGTTCATTACATCGGAAACCGAGTCAAGAAATGAAAAGCTTATTACAAGGGTAACTTTATCTTTTATTCATTAATTATGTTTTTAAATTGTAAATACATATTGAATAATATATGACTTTTTTCACTTAGAATCGTGTATGGAACTAATGTTCTAAGTGAAAAACCTAGAACAAAGACTTTGCAGTTCATTTATCCTAAGGTTAGAAACTTATTTATATAAGTGAATACTATAATTATTGTTTGTATTTAAATTTTGAAAATAACATTATGTTTTTTTCATCATTTCAGTGTAATAAGCAAACAGACTCGTTTGAATGTGGTTACTATGTTATGTATTGGATGAGAGCCATAGTTTGTGCGGGTATAATGGATTCTTGGACGGAGGTAATTGTTTTTAACATTAGTTAAGTTTATTTAACTTTATTCATGTTGCATGTTTACAAGAGTCAAATTAATGTTTCAGGTATTTCAAGATTCATCTCCATTACCAGAATATGATATTACACAAATTAGAGAACAATGGGCAAAATTTTTTGTTCAACAATTCTAGTACATAATTTTTTAAGTTCTTGTTAATATTATATTGTGTGTATTATGTAGTTTAGGTAGCTTAGTTTGTATTAACTTTTAGTTTGTAATAGATTTTTTAGTTTGTATGTTTGTATTATATTGTTTTATTATGTAGTTTGAATTATATAATATTATATTTTTAATTTACTAGCTAAAGAAAATTGAACCTCCGGATCTGTCTGGTTGTAATATATATTTGCAGGTTTTAGTTGTAAAACAGAATCAACCCAATTTAAAAAAAAACAGCAAATTTACGTCGCATATTGGTATATGCGACGTAAATTTACGTCGCATTTACCATATGCGACGTAAATTTGCTGTTTTTTTTTTAATTTCCAAAAGCTTTTACGTCTGTTTAGTGGTATATGCAACGCAAAATTACGTCGGGTCTTGATAACTGACGTAAATTTACGTCGGACTAAAGGGTCCGACGTAAATTTACGTCTCCCGTTTTAACGTCAGTCTTAAATACAACGTAAAAAACCCTAAATACCTGACGTAAAAGCCCCTTTTTGCACTAGTGTACATATTACCTTATGAACAAAATGAATGTTTATAAAACGATACAAAGAAAAAATATTAAAGTGCAATTATTAACGTTTTAGAAAGAAATTAGACAGCGTCCATTTTATTGTTTTTTCTTGGAAAGATAAGATTAAAGTTATTAAATCAACAAAGATCGAATTTCAAATTCAGGTTATTAAAGTTAAAAATGAGTAAACATTCGATTAGATCAGTCTAATATTAATAATTTGAACAATTCATCAAAATCATTCACATCAATGTACACATAAAAAGAAATTAATGATAATTTATAGTAAGATGTTTAATTACTTAAATTCAAAGATGTAGCAATGCAACCATTCAAAATTGAAATTAACACTAAATTAAATCAAAATTGAATGAAAATATATAAATTTGTATGATAATAACATTGAGGTAAAAGTTAGTATAAATAGTAAAGTAAAAAAGTGTAACAAAAAGTTTTTTTTTTTTGGTCTTATGATTTTCACATGAAAATTAAGAAAAAAAATTATTTTTATCTCAATAACATAATTACTTTAATTTATTTTCTAGACCTTAATAAATATGTCTTATATAAATTAATTAAAAATATATAAAAATAAAAAGTAAAATTAAAAAATTATAATTAATGTTAAATTGAAATTTAATTACTAGAAATTCTCATATTTTATGAGAATATTTTTGTAACTTTTTTATAAAAATTACAAGAAATAATTTTCTTATAAATTTAAATAAATTTTTACAAATTTGTAAAAAACAAATAACTTTTTTAGTAGTAAATAAATAAATAAAAATATATTAAAAAATTCATCAGAATAGAGTGAGTATTATTAGTGTTATGTGGCAAAACGTTTTAAGAAATAAAATATTAAGTATTTATTTTATTGATTATGATAGTAATTCAATCTTTATTTATTTATTTGTATAGTAAAAAAATTGTGTTTTGGTTTATTTACAAAACATAAAATGTTTGAGTTTGATTTGTTTATAAGGCTATTTTTCTTTTTCCTTTATTAATTTTCTTTTGAAAATATTTGGAAGTTTAATAATTTAATATTTAATAAACATTTTAATATTAGAAATAAATAAAGTATAAACAATAATTTTAATATTTTATTGAATAAAATGATATCTTATTAATAAGAAACAACTCCACGTTTCTTCTAATATAAAAGAAGCATCAGAAATTACTTTCTTTCTATACTTGTATTTATTTAAATCAGTTTACCTAAACATGATATAATTCATCGATTATTTTACTAAAAATATATATTTTTTAAAATAAATTTAAAGAAATACACCCAATAATTGAAAATGACAATATCAAGTCTCTATCTAAGTGATAAAAAGTCTAGTTTCTCTTAAGAAAATTGTTTAGTCTAAATTTTGTACAAAAAAAAAAAAAAATAGACACGAAGAATTTTATTTTTGCAAATGAATCTAGTCAACTTCAATTATAGAGAGTCAGAAAACCGTTTAAAAATTCCCTGCCGAGTCTAACTTCATCAGTGAAATTACTAAATTAGATTGCTTCCTCAATTCTAATCGTTCACTCTTTCTCTATGATTGGTAGGTACCACGAAAAATTATATTTTAATGTACTTTTATTTTTCTTCCATTTTTATTTCTTTTAACGAATCGCTTTTAATATTAACTTTACGTTTAAATTTAACTTTAATAATGTTTTTTTTTTTCACAGGGTTAACCTTTGAGGGTGAATTTTTGGATTCACCAACAAGAGCGGATTAGATTTGGCACAATTTTCCATTTCTTTGGATAATAAAACACTCAAACCCAACTCCTCATAGACACAAACACTCAAACCAACCAGCAAACAGAATAGACACAAGAAGTAGTTGAAATTAACAGCACCAACAGCTCCTAGGATTGCCACAAAAAGCTCCTAAAGAGGTTGCACTTTTTTCATCTTGTCATAGACTGTGACATTACCGGCACTGTAGCTCCTTGCCCTTGTCTTACCCTGTTGGCTTCCCAACCTATATTTCAGTTCATTTGCCCCACAACAAGTTAGTTTCATCTGATATCATTTAAAGAGAAAGTGGTAAGACCAAAAAGGTGAAGTTTTATGCTTCAGTTGCCTACATTTTCGTATCGGTGAAATTGGATGCAACAAGTGCTTATTTTTAAAATTATCATCTCTCGTACGATTAACCAAAAGTTGCCAACGAGTCTCTCCTTTGTTATAATATTGATAGTACTGAATGTATTCCAGTTACAAGATGCTGAAGATTAGCAATAAATTACTTTAGCTCAAAAAGTAAGATCTAGAGGGTGACAGATGGCAAAGGATTAATTATATCAAGATAGTTTTGATCAATAGATTAGTTCTAATCATGGAAAAAAAGTCAATCTGTCAGGAAAAGAAACATGTAACTTTGCATCCCACCAATAAGATTCAATGAAAGTGTACTTAAAATTGGCGATGCAGTTTGTGGCAATGAAAATTCCCATAATAGATCAAGCTCATTATAATAGTAATATCTAAAGTGCACTTATAGGACAAATATTCAAAGGCATTATTTAGCCAGCAAACCCATATGGTGTCTGACAATTCACAAAGATTCTTACCCCCAATACATCAAAAACAGATTTTCAGAAGAAGTACGGGCATAAGAAGAAGAAATAAGATTAAGACAGAGACAGTAGAAATCCTAAAATTGATGAGATGTGAGTGTATTTGTTAGCCACAAGTTAAATATGGTATTACCTATGCTCAAGTCAAATCCACGGTTTTTAAGTTCTCTATACTCCTGACATAGGGCACAGGTTTCACAGCAGAAATGAACTAAGCAATCCATACATGGAGCCTCTGGCAAGTCATATTGTGCCCTCATTTTTGACCTGTAGTAGCACGAGTACAAGCATGCGAGCCCACTCAGAGCTAGTAGCGTCCCATAAATAGCCCCATTACAAGTGCAAGCTGCATGTATGAAAGAAAAAGAAAAAGAAAAATAGCAGAAGATAACCTTTGTGAGTCACACTTCGAATATATAAATAGTACTCGTGCATCAGTGTTTAATAAAAACTCACTTTGTTTGCCTTCGTCTACTATTTCTGCTATCAATCCAAATGTAACACAAGGGCAGAAGCAAGTGACCAAACCTAAGAGAATAAACATCCATAGTATGTCAATTGCTTGATGCTTATACTAAAGAGAAAAATAAGGAATCCACATGATTGATTCATGAACTCTTAGTCTTACAGTTTCCAGGATCATCAAGACAACGGCAAAGACCAGTTGACCATCGTTGTGTCCTGATCACAGGACCCCTCACACTGGTGCTGATATATGGAGGAGCAAAAGCTGGTATCTGTGGAGGGCCATAAGCTGGAGGCACCGCCACCGGTACAATATAGCCTGGATGGCTATGATTAGCTGCATATACCTCATCATGGTCATCTACTGCAGGATACATTTTTCTCAGATTTTAGCAAATAATTAGCTAGAATTACTGTTGCTGCAATGGCCCTCTAAGCAAGACAAACTTTTCTGATTTATCTTAGTATATAGACGGTAGGAACTTAATAAAGAGGACACTCCACATTTCAATTACTAGCTAGTTAGGGAATAGTTTTCAGTGTGACTATTTTAATCATCAGAAGTTGCAAAGAAAAGTACCAACTAGTACCGAGTATTTAATATTTCCAACGACATTTGAATTAAGAGAGACAAGGAAATTGTAGATTAAGATAATAAGATCATGACATTGCCATGCACTTTGTTTTGGATTTAAGAAGATTGGTGTTTCCTGGAAAATCTTACTTCAAAAGGATAGGAAGAGAAGACAATTTGTGATTACTTGATACATTTGACTTGGACATAGTCAGGAACATCATGTTCATTTTTATACAAGTGTGAATTCAGAATAATTTATTATTTGCACCAATGATTACTTGGCGCTGGTAATATGCGGACGAAAACGGGTTGCAAGACAAGGATAGTGGTGTTAAAATAAATAATTAGTCAATGTAAATTAGCTATTATATATCAATGCAAATAAGTTATTTATGTTGGACCAAATGAAAATTATAATATATATGAATGCAAAATGTAGAAGCTTCAGTAGTAATTTTAAAAATGATGATGTTGAGAGTGGGATTTGAACCCACGCCCTTTCGGACCAGAACCTTAATCTGGCGCCTTAGACCAACTCGGCCATCTCAACTTTGCGTTATATTTTTCACTACTTATGATCTTCTACGTATTCATTAATTTATTTATTTATTTCCTTTTCTATATTGCTTGCAACCTGAGGAATAACTTCAAGAGTTCATACATTTTCACAGGAAAAAAAAATATTTTAATAAATTATAATTAGTATTGAAACCCATATACCAAAAAATTTCAAATTAAGGGTATATTCAGTTGCCATCTCAAAAGATTTTAAAAGGTAGTTTATTATAAATAAATATTGTGTATTCCATCAAGATTTTCAAACATCAAAATCAAATTTTATGCCATTCAATCATAGGATTTTTTAGAGAAAATAAAATTTTGTGGTATTTAAGTGAGATTTAAAAGACTAAAATTAATTATTGACGTCTAAATTTCATTGAATTATTTTGTTGATTAGATGTTTAATGGATTTTGTGTGATTTTTCATTTGTATGTATAAATTCAAAGTTTTTTTTTAACATAAACATAGCATTATTTTAGTAAAAGAAGTCTAAATTTAATCTTTTAAAAAGTCTTTTTAATTAGTTAAAAAAAAAAAAGAATCTAAACTTAATCATTCATATACACACATGGATATCCGTCACAAATTTTTCTATATCCACGTGAGTCAACAAGTATGCATATGTTTAAAAAATGTTATAAAAAAGCTAACAAAACTATTGTGTAGCCTTTGAATAAACAAGTTATTTGCAATGATAATAAGAGGAATGTTTATATTCCAAATTTTAAAAAAGATCGTATCTTTATATTTATTGTTTAGACCCAAGAGAGTAGGAAAAAAATTAGTTATTGTAGCTTTAGTAAATTAGTTATTAAACTTATATTAATTTACATTTTTTTAATTCAAACTTTATCACATTACTTCGTCTTTCTATTTTGAATATTTGGTTTTTTCAATTCAGTTTACTTAAAAGTTGTATATGATAAATAATAAAATTACATAATGAACTAAAATCAATTTTCGTTTTTGTCTTAAATAATTTATCGTAATAAACAACATTAATTATCATTACAAAAATTTGATTTACATAATTTAACATAGTAGAATAACTAATAAAGATGAATTTTTAACTTATTATTTTTAAATTATATGAAATCCTTTAAATACTATGATTTTCATATTTTATAAATTTTTAAAATTTGAATTACAAAATTCTAACCACGAAAATCTTTAAGATATAAACAAATTATTATATTTTTTACAAAAATATTTTAATTTTTTTAAATTATATAACTTTTTTTAAAATTCTAATTAAATACAATATTGTGTTAAAACACAAGCAACTTATGTACCAAATAGGAAAAGAAAAAAAGCTTCATATTAGAATAGTTAAAGAGTATAAAATCCAACGTCTTTGTATATAAGAAGTCCTCGATAATCATAAAGATCATATTCATGTACTTTTTTCTCTTAATCAATTTAATATATATTTTTATATAATATTTACATAAATATTATTATTTTTAGTATAATTAAAATATTTTATCTCATTTTTATATATTATTAACTATTTCATTAAGTTTGTGTCACTAAAAAAAAAATCCTGAGTTTTATTAGTTTTAATTGTGTTATTCATGATTTGGAAATATGTTTTTCCAAATCTATTTTTTTATCCTTAATTTCAAATGGCTCTCTTTACAATCAATTTTTATATTAATAGAAAAATTCTATTTTTTTTCTCACGTGACATAAATCATATACATGAACGGCGTCATTTAATAGTTAAAGAAACATAAACTGACAACTTTTTTAATATTAATAATTTAAAACTTAATGAAATAATTAATTATATACGAAAAATAAATAAAATATGTTTTAATTATATTAAAAAATATTTATCAAAATTTAATATAAAAAACATAATTTATCCTAATGAAAACAAGTAACTCCAATAAATTATTTTTAGTCATTCACGTGACTTAGAAAAAACAAGTTTCTTATATTTATAACTCAGAACATATAACATCGAGAGCAAGTTTAACAAGTAATTTCTCTTATAACATTTTCCATGAAAAAAAATCATTTTAAGTGAAACAAGACATGTACATTTCCAAATATTTGTAAACATTATAAGATAGAAATATAAGGATCTTTTTAAGGGAATTTACAAAAAAAAAAAAACAACAACATAAATTCAAGGAATTAACACTAGTTTCAACAAAAAAATATTAAAACATTGAATTATAAATTTGTTTTCTTTATATAATGTTTAACATTCTTATTCTTATTTAATATGAGACTTAAACTTACACTTGATTTTTCAATAATCTTCCCTCAAGTGTAAAGCCTTTCACATTGATACATCTCTTCAAGTTTACTAGTAACTCTTTTATCGGTCTAATTCCCCCACAAATATGAGTTATTTCACATTGGTATATATCCTTTTAAATTTAGTAAGAATTTTTAAGGTTTTTTGTATGTGTATGTTTAATATATGAATTATATCTCATATAAGTATATCTTTTATTAATGTACTATGTGTATATAAAGTAAAAATATCACAAAATATTAAATATTAACAATATCTTAATGGTAATTACTTAAATCAAAATAATAATATAATATTTTTTTCTCTTATTCTAAAAAATATCTTAATATCTAATTTAAATAAAAGAATACGAAGAGAAGTACATTAATTAATTGAGGAGGCTGTAGATATAATTTGTTTTTTATCATTTGGTTCACAAAGAGATGAGAGAAACAAGGATAAAATTGACCATACACATTTTTTTTTGTTTTCTTGCTCTTCTAAATCTTTCCAATATTGGAGTGTACAAAAATTGGACAAGCAAAATTTTACTCTCCTACTCTCTTAAAATTTGAAGTAAATAAGAAATGTATAAGAAAGGAAAAATCAAAAACAAAATTAACACAATTGGTGATGTTCGTCAATTAGAATTACACATTAGTAATACTCAAAATATGATTGCACTAAATAAGTATATTACCCTGATGAAACTCTAATTCCAATTAGAGAATAATATAAACAACGCTTGATTCACTTTCCATTTTGCATAGAGGCCAACATATTTTTACTTTGTTATTTAATTCACTATATTAGTTTGTGGTAAACAATTTTAGGTATGTTTTTGACAACTCTTGACTAGGAGAGAAAAATAAGAAGAAAAATATAAATTAAATTAATTTATCTATAAATTAAAATACAACTTACACATAAATTAAAATAAAAATTTAGAAAATTTATATAAGAAACTTTTAGAAGATAATTCACTCATCAGTTAATTTTATTTTATAAAGAAGTTAATTTAAAGTTTTCTTCTAATGTTTCTTTCCTTAGAAAAATTAAGAAGAAACTTAGCTAAACATTCCCTTGTTAATTACCAAATTCTCTCATTGTAATTAGACATCATCAGTCCCACTTCGCAATCATGGTAAGATTAACTCACAAAATCTTAACCCCTCGACCTCCTTAATCTTTGAGTTGACAAATTTTGTTCCTTGTGTTCTTTTTTTATTTCATCCCACTCATTTTTAAAGAATAATATTCTTCAGAAATGATTTTTTTACCATGTTTTTCCATAAAACTAATTCGAAAGGAGAATCTAATACTTTTCAAATTAAATTGAAATAAATATTGAAAGAACATGTTAACTCTTATTAAATAATTTAATGTTATGATGAATTAAAGATTTTATTAAAAATAAAATGTTACTTCTTGAATTTTATAAATTGCCATGTAATAATTTTATCTAACCAAAAAGAATTTTTTTTTAAATTATAATTTTCAAGATTCATGGGAATTATGTTCCTGGTATGAAAAATTACGAGTGTAATGTGTATAAGAATGACAATTAAACTCGTACATGTGGGGACCGACCCGTCCCCGCCTCGAATTTGATGGAGAAAACCCGAGTTAACCGGGGTGGGGGTGGGAGCGGGTTCGGGTTTTTCCTACTTTAAAAAGTCGGGGTCGGGGCGGGGATGGGTAATGCAATCCCCATCCCGACCGTTCCGCCCGACTTTATATTTAAATTTAAATTTTAAAATATTAATATTTTAAAAATATTTCTTTTTCTTTTTCTATTACATCTAAGGTCATTTTTTTTTATACTTCACCAAAAAAATTTTCTTCTACCCACTTTTTAATTTCTTTTGTCTTTTTTAATCTTTTATATCAATTAATTTATTACATTATTTTTTTCTCTTACCTTACAGCTTTTTCACATTTCCTTAATCTCTCATCAATTTGTTTTTTTTTTCAATATTTTCAACCAATTTGATGATTAATTTTTTTTATTATTTATCTCTTTCTAAATATTTTACAAAAAATCTTAGTAGTAACTAATATTATTTTATTTATAATTTATATTTACTAAGTTTAATTATGTCATATTTTTTTATCTTATTATTCTTATTTATCATATATCAAATTTTATCTTAATAAAATAATTGTATTTTAAAATATTAAAGGAATTGATAATTTAAACTTTTATTACTTTGAACTAATTGAATAAGAATTAACTTATTAAATATTTCCTTATAAATTATATATTTTATATTTTTAAATGACAACTTAAAAATGAATTAACTTATATATATAATCAAATGTTTGAATACAGTATTATAATAATAATGTTATAAATACTCAAATATTTGAATACAGTATTATAATAATAATAATGTTATAAATAAAATATGATTAAATATTTCTTTTACATACATATTTTAATATAAATATAATAAATTAAAATATATATTTAATTAATAATAATTATAAATTATAAATATTTATTTATATATAAAAAATAGATAGGAAAATTAATTTATTATAAATGTGATTATCTTTTTAAAAATAATATAGATCGGGGACGGGGTGAGGGCGAAGAACCCGAAACTCAGAGGAGACGGGGACGAAGACTTAATTTCTAACCTGACAGGGATCGGGGGCGGGAACGAGGATGGTTAAAAGACTCAGGAGCGGGGGGGAACGAGGATGGTTAAAAGACTCAGGAGCGGGGATCAGGAGTCAAAACCCGCCCCGGCTCACCCCCGTTGCCATGCCTGTGTATCCAAGTTTTATAGGGAGATTTGAATCTTGATTTGTCAATACTGAAAGATATATTGGACTCTTCTTCAAGACCTAATCTCTTTGGTTAACATGTTCATTGATAATTAAGTTGGCAATGAAGTCATAAAGATGAGTTAACTAGGGTTCAACATTTTCTCGCCGACCTAGTGAAGGCTATAAAGTATTCATTCTCTTTTAAAATGCTGAGATTCGAATGTCTCGAGAAAACTGGAGTAGATTCTCTTCTGAGTGACCTTAATTACGAAGCCATGATCACTTGCGCTAGGGTTTCAACAACTGCAAACATCCGTTCACACCATAATAATCTTTACCCAAAGAAAAAAAGAATTAATCCCTTAGAGATCAACAAAATGTGGTGCATATGCTTGAGAAAGGAAGGTGGATGAGTCGGGGTTGAAGGTAAAGTACAAGTTTTTCTCAACTTTGTTAAATCATATTCCAACTGCACTGTATATCATTGGTTACAGTTCTTGTCATGTAATGTTTGATGTCAGATTCAATACAACCTATACTATTAAAGCGTGTTTTGTGTTCACATAAAACAGGACTTGTGTTAATAAAAAAGTATGTCGTGCTACGATAAGCTGGTATAACTCTTTCATTTATCTTTTATCAAACATGATCTGAGTTGGATATGTTCTGTATTCATTTTTATAGACTAAACTCAAATTAAGCAATGAAAAACAGCCATATTTCGCAGAATTGAATAAAGTAATTATAAGTTTACGAGTCCCTTTAGCAGGATAATCCAAAAGAGATTACTGTGTTACGTTTTGAGCAAGATTCATGCATGCCATGGCACAAAAAATAAACTAGAGAGGGTTTCTGGATCTGACATAGTAAAATGAGCCTCGAGCATTGAGTGTGTGTATATATGATATTGGATTGGATTAGAATAATGAGGACTAGAGCTTCGTTGATTGGATGATATTATAATAGAATAATAAGGGCTAAAAGCATCATTTATTGGATTACAAGAGACAAATTTTGCTAACAGGATGGGAGACAAAAAGGGGGACAGGCTCTCAGGCCTAACTTTTCTCCCAGCAACATAGCTATGTGGTGATTTTCATTAATCTTCTGCTGAGTACACACATCAATCTACGATGTAGGATGCGACCATTTGTCCTAAGCTCAATTGCCAAGCATTATATAAAACTAGTCCACAGTGAGGATGTGGATTTCATGTGAAGAACAGTCGGAAAAGAAACACGTGAAGGTCAATAGTTCAACTGAAAGATTCTTTGCCGCATGAATTATTAGTCTTGCATGTATTCTTTGTTTCCTTCTTGTGCTTACAACTAGCTTTTCCAATATTTGACAAAAGAAGAGAAGAATCTAATACAGACATGCTACTTATGCTAAACAATCTGACTTAACTCACATGATCATGAGAATTATCATATGATAAAAATGTTAAACTATTTCTTTTATATATAATATATATAGATAAAGGCACACATTTTTTAAACATTTTTCTGCAATTGGTCAATAGTATATATCCTTTGGCGAAAGTTTACACTCATATTCACGGTGCCGAATTGCTCAGGCAACAGTTAAACACTTAAAGGTCAAGACTCGCATTCCTAGCATAAAAAGACAAATCTAAATAACATGTTATGTCCACTAAACACACACATAGTAGAATCCCCATCATTATAAAAGGGAAAACATCTTCATGTGGAAACTAACCTTTCAGACTGAACGAACACAGAAGATAATATAAGTTTTCTCACAAGAATATTGTCCATGCTCTATATATAATCTGCAAGTTCTGTAGTGCATGAGCTTCAACCATGGACCCCAGAATCTCCTTCTCCTATGATTTTGTGGTTTCCCAACAAGCAATCAAGCATGAAAATATATACAGAGAAGATCCTGTCTCATCGGATTTTGAATTCTCTGTCAAGAACAATTCTATGATATCAGCAGATGAAGTGTTTTACCAGGGCATGCTGATGCCTCTGAAGAGTGACTGTTCCAAGAAGGTGACTTTGAGGGATGAGTTGCTTGCTAATGACGACTACGAAGAGGAGTTACCAAGATTACCAAAGAGTTCAAGCCGGTGGAAGGAACGATTAGGCCTCAAGAGGGTTACATCTAAGAAAGATAAGAACAAGAATGATGGGTTTCAGCAGAGAGATGCCAATGAAAAAGTGTTTACTTCTGGACAAGGAGACAAGACTGTTAGCTGAGACAAAATGGTAAGATATCAACCATCCATCTCTTGTACATCTTCATGTTCACTTTTTAGCACTTAATCTTTTGCTACTTAATAGAAATATCGTTGTTTTCATTTATACATTCAATCTTAACAAGAGTAAAATCCCACTTCGGGAAATGTGTTATGAAGGTGGTGTAAGTTGTAGGAGCAAATAGGAGAAGCATTAATTTCTCAAGGAGGGGATGGTATTCTACTAATATCTGAAGACATGAATTAATTGTTAGAATTTTGGTCTGACTTCCTTCTCAACAGCTAAGTTAAATTTAACCTTTCAGTTATGTTCCCACCTATGTAGTAGAAAGACAGTAGTACCTTCCAGCATTTTGATCTTTGTACAAAAATTTGCAGTTAAGAACATCCATGTGTCAATGAGTATTTTTCTTTGTGTAGTATATGAGATGAAGTTGCTTTTGTTTGATAGATAGTGATTTGCTAGTTGTTATTAGTTCCAGTATGTAATCAAGCATCTTCTTCCCCTACTACTACTTTAAGCAGGTTCCAATATGTTCTTATCTGAACGAGTTTCTTCCAGTGTCATACATTTTCACTTTGTGGTTTGGGTGGGAGAAGGGAATAATAAAGATGAATGACGTACTTAAGAGAGAAAGTAACATCAAGAATAAATCTGCATAATGCACCCAGAAGCAATAGCTGAAAAGTTTGTAATGCTTGATATAAAGTGCTTTTTGCACAAATATTTGCTGGGAAAACAGAAACTGAAGAATCCCATAAACTTTTAACGTCTCATTTCTCCATTCACTCCAAGGACAAGAAATTTGAGTATATAATTAGTTTCTAGTATGAGAAATACAAACCTATTATACAAAAACGAATAACAAATGTAATTTTCTTTTGTTTGAGTACATTCAACTTACACCATTGTATCTAAAAATAGTTTTTCAACCGTGCGTTCATTAACTTAAATCCTAAAAGACTCGAGTGTAAAATATCATACTTCAAATATTTCATGTACTTCCTCTTAATCTTCTCAAGCACATAACAATAATCACTTCGAACGTGATTTTTTGATTTGGGTTTCCAGTCAAAATTTATAAAAAATATCAAATTGAGATATTCCAATCCAAATAATAATTAATATCCTAAGTGTCATTGAGATATCTCAATCAAAATTATTATTATTATTTCATGATTTTATAAGAAAAATGTAACGAAAACAATCAAATTTAAGTTTATATTATTAAAATCAAATTTTCAATATTTATTTAGTTATAATTTTAATTATTTTCCAAAAGAAACTAAAAGATGATGAAATAATAAATTTATCTCTGAAAACAACAACAACAATAATATATATATATATATAGAGAAGTGAGTTAGGATTTGTGCCCAAAAATTGCACTAAGGGACTAAAAAAAGTTTGGGTAGTCCAATTAATTAAATAAATAGGAAATATGAAAAATAAATTTTAAGAAGTGAAATTAAAGAAAGTGTCAAGACTTGATATTTGCCAAGTCTATACAAAAAAAAGGTTGACTGTACGAGACTTTTCTTTCTTCCTTCTCCATCATTTATAACCCACCTAGAAGGACAGATTGATTTCTTTATTTTAAATATATACGTGATTTATGTTGATTTTGTAAAACTACTTTTGACAAACCTAAATGTTATTTATAAACACAATAAAAAAAATATATCCTAAACTATAACGTGATAACTATTTTTTGAGTTGATTTTCTATTTTTACAAGAATTAAAAACATAAATAAAAAATCTGACTACCTAGCATAGACACAAGTCAATAAAAACATTATACCTTGAGTTCTAATAAACGAAAATTATCCAAAAACAAGTTTTTTAGAAACTAAACTCAAAATTCTTCAAAATAGACGTTGAAAAAAAAATAACCCAAGAAGTTAATACTTTTACGCTGAAAAGTTTAAAGAAAGTGACCACCTAATTTTGAACAACATATAACAAATGCAGGAAGATAATGAAAGATTATTTGATCTTAGACATCATCATAGATAATAAAATATGCATGCATGTTATTGAATGATCGTGTTAAAAATTTTGATCCCACACATAGAAATACACACCTTACAATTAGGTCTTCTTCTTATTGTTGGACTGTCAGTTATAGATATCATCAAAGAGAAAATTTGACGTGTTATGTGAATATTTATTTGGTTTATTTCCACGTAAGGTATTGGTATACCAAATAAAATTAACTTAAGAATAACCAAACGGGCTACGTCCAATTGGTCGGCTGGCCTAAAAAATGGGGGAAAGATTGATGATTTTAGTTTATCATACCAAATGGCCTTGTTTAATCCACAAACTCCGCGAGCCAAAGATAAAATATTTATATATTAAAATAAAAATAAAAATATTATATATTGCACTATATTATTAAAAAATATAAATATATCATAATATTATAATTTAAATTATAAAAATTAATTAAATTAAATTAAATTATTGATTATAACTAATTATTTTATAATATGTTTTAATTATCTAATAAAAATATTAATTAATAAATTAAAAATTATTCATATAATTAAAGATATATTTTTAAAAATATATATGAAAAATTATTTTAAAAACATTAATGGGGGCTAGCCAATTAGCTCGTCGACCCATCCTTTAGCGGACGAGCCGGAATTTGTGACCCATCCTGATTATGCCAGGTCAGTCTCTCCTACCTTATTTTTTATGGGTTAGAGATGGGACAGGCCAAAACAGAACGAGCTGACCTATTTTGTCATCCCTAATTAAACTTTCTTGGTTAAACACTTTGTTTCAATAACTTCTCGATAATGTAGATGATTAGTTGTGACACAATATGCAAGAAGCTAATACATCAATATCTAGAGTACATTTAATATATCTTTTATTATTCCAAAACTTAATTATAGTTTCACACTATAATCTATAATTGTGGATAAGTTGTCTTGATATGTCAATATTAAACATTAAATCATAAGGTGGACTACAATCATTATAAATTTTGAAGTTTCATGTTATTGTTTGAAGCATAGACACGTTGTCTTAAGGTAGAAGACTTAACAAATAGATTTAAATTTATTTGACATTAATTTATCTATTTTCTTTTTTCAAATGACTTGATTTTCAAATTTTGATTAATTTTTTGTATGCAATAGGTGGTCACATGATCCGGTCAACGGTCAAATGTCATCACATATGTTTTACATACATTACGTTTGACATTTGATCAATTAAAATCAAATGAGATAATTTATTTATTATAACATTAGGTGCTTCTAAAAAATATTTTATTATATATATATATATATATATTTTTTTTTTAATTATAATTATTCTAATTTAACATGTTTGATATAATAATACAAATTTTGTGGATTTCTTATAATCGATTTATTCTACAACAACTAATAAATATTGAGGTTTCTCATATAAGTTGTGTTGTAATTTCAATATTATGTTTTACAACTATTAATCCTCATCTAACAAATCGGGTTAGGAGACAACTTAGCCTTTGCCAACAAATTTCAAAAGACCCCATCCATTTGGACAAGTTGTACATAGAGAACATGATAGGTAGAACTAATAGATTTTGACCACAATATCAAGAAGTTTAGATTACTACGTGGAACGAATGTCATAATCATTTAAATAAAATAAAAACAAGTTCTACGAGAATAACCACTTGCGTGAAAAAAATCATATATGATATGGTATTTTCAACACACTATCACATATATTTCTTCTATTTAACAAAAATTTGCAATGAAGTAAATATAGAAATTTATTTTATTTTATATATAATAATGTTTATATGAAATTAATGTTACAATATATTTTTTTTCAATATGATGCACAATATGAAGAATAACACCAACATGTTGGTCAATCTAGTCATGCTAATGTTATTGGTCGACCCATTGATCAGTCAAATTATCAATATATTGGTTAATCAAGTCATCAACAAGTTGATCAAACTAGTTTATATGTTATTTCAATTTAGAGGTTCAGATTCCTCATACATTTACATTGTTTCCCTCTAAAACAAATATGTTTTTTACCTTTTCCACCACCATCAACATACAATCAAACTCCTACTATACCTAATATACCTACTATGTAATATGCAAACGAAGAAGATTCCTCTAAAACAAATATGTTTTCCACTTTTTTCATGTCACCACCGTCAACATATAATCAAACTTATTTCATGTTTGTTATGTCCAATATGTCCCATGTATAATATGCAAATGAAGATGATAAAGATATCGATAATGAAATAAGTAAACGAATATTTAACCCCTACATAATTGTACTATAAAAGCACAACAAATGTTTACCTAAATCAAATCATGTAAACCTAAATAACAAATTAAAAGACCACCTTGTGAAATAAGATTTTACAATTAATTATATTTGTAATTTGGTTTTTGCAATAATATATGTAATTTTTTATTTCTATATAATGTAAATTTACAAATTTAAATTAATTCATATCTATACTTCTCTCAATATTTTTATTTTTTATTTAAAATTAATAATATAGCACAATTAAACTAAAATAAATTGATTTATATAAATAATATATTTTTTAATTTATTTCAAAATAATAAATAATATATTTATATAAATAATCAAATATTTATATTTTTTAGAAAAATAATTAACTAAAAATCGTGTTAAATAACATAATTTCAAATAACATCTTACAATCTTGGACGATTTCAATATTAATTCACTCAACTCGAGCACAAGTTCTTCATAGTTAAATAGTGTATCATATAACAATTTTTTTTAACTGAGAAACGTAAAAAAAAAAGCCCGCCTCTTTAGTGTACCTTTCTAGCAAAAGCATGATTTCTTTCTGTAAAGTGAATCCAAAGATCAAACTAGGGCTCTAGTATACAATGAGTAGAAATCTGATACTCTACTAACTATTAAGCATAAAATATTCACGGTAAAAAAATCAATTAATTTACATTCACCAACAATTAGATATAAATAG